CTCAGTATGAAATACTTAATATTCAGATTTTGAAATTTAAAAAACCATAACAAAATTTTCTTGCTAAAGAACTAAGAATTATTTGGTTCAATTGACATTTAGTGTAATTATTAAAATTGGCAATAAAATTTAGTAGTACTTAATTCTACGAGATTTAAGAAAGTTTCTATTTTCATAAAGACATGATATTCATTAAATTCATTCATTCAAGGTTTACTAACACCAATTGTCGATATTTTACATAAAGGAATATTCATTCATGGAAAGAAGGTAAAGCCATAAAACACCAGCAAAATCCCTTCTGTAGAAGTGTCTGTATAAATAAGCTCATTGAGGTGTCTTTAGGCAGACTAAATTGTTGATTAGATTTGACAGCATTAGGGACCCATTATTTCAATTTATTCCAGTTTCAGTGTCTTAGAATCATGTACCAATTTTAATGTTTTGAAATTCTTTTCAAAACTTGAAAAACTTATCTTAAAATTCTAAATATTCAAGGCCATTTAAAATAATTGTTAGATATCAAAAACTACCAAAATTACCTGATTTTTTACAGATAAAGCTTCCTAATGATAAAATTAAGATATATATATTTAAATAAATAAAACTTGACCCATCTCAATGTATAGTTCCTGAATTAATTGGTTTTTAATCATTCAGAGAGTAAAGTACGCCTCAAAGACTGCTCAAACTATAAATAGAAATTATACTCAGTAATTATTAATAAACAAACTCAAATGTATTAAACTATAAATTATACCTGATATACAGACATTCTAGAAGAATACTGAAAGTCTATTTTCTGTACTTTTCTTTCAAACTAAATAAATGACAAAAAGAATAACATACTCTAACCTTTCTGTTTTGGATTCATTGTCAATTTTGTACTGTTCAAAATCTTGGCTAAGAGACTGTAGCTTTTCTTGAAGTCTCTTTTCACGTTCTATACTTCCTTGATAAAATTTCATCTCTTTTTCCATCGCTTTCACTTTTTCTTCCATAGCTTTAAACTCATGAAGTATTAGATAGCTGACTCCACAGTACTTACAAACTTTTTCTTCGGGGGACATCTAGAAAATAGAAAATACATTTACTGAAATGATTTTTCTTAATTCTGAAAAACAAAGTTCAACTGAAGATGTTACTGCAACCATTCTGATCAAATGAAGTAAATACAATATATACTGTACTATGTCATGGAATAATCATGACATTGCCTACATCTGGATAAAATTTTTTAAATTGGCATGATATTGACTACGACACAAAATCTTGGAATTAGAAAAGGGTCTTTCAGAGTAATTATTTCTCCATCGTATCTCTAAGAAAGATTTACTCTTGAAAGGTTTTCCATAAAATAAAACTAAAAATGATGAAAACACCTTTACAATTCTTGTTTTAAGATGTTTTCCATGAAGTGAGAAAAATCACCGGCCTTTCACTTCCAACTGCACTGTGATCCTGGAGATGCTGTGTGGCTTTTTCAGATCTTCTTTCCCTCGTTTATAAAATTAGGGCACTGGACCTAATGAGCTCCAAGTTCCTGCTCAGTTTTAACATTTTTATGATTTTTATAGAACTTAACATTCTGTCATAAAAGCACAAATAGGAAAAACACTCTGAACCTAATTTCTTCTGCCTAAATTAGTTCTTTTCCCCTTGGGTTGTTATGGTTATACCCACTTCATAGATAAAGAGACTATTGGAGTTAAACCAGCTGATAGGTGGGGAATTTGTGATTAAATCCAGATCTGTTTAAAACAAGCACCTATGCCTGTAACATTTGTATCACATTTATCTCCAATGTGCACTTCAGCTAAATCCTCTTACTTTCTTCAGATATGACGTTCACACATCTCTGGCCAACATTAAAGCAGTGAAAGATAGAATTTTAACAAAGTCAAGGGAGAGGAAATTCTGTTTTTCCTCTCTCAAGTACATAAATATTCCTCAAGTAGCCTCTACTTGTCTTGCTCCTCACAAAGAGAAAGAGACAGTGTCATTAAATATTTGCTCCCGGGCACTAAAATGCAAACAACATTTGGATTATTGGAGGAGCACTTACTCTTAATACAACTTCCCTTAAGACTGTAGAAATGGCTCCTATAACTAACTGTGATGCCACCATATCTGCCTATCAATGCTATTACTCAAGAGTAGGTTGAAACTCACAAATAACAAATTTTTACAAAGTAAAAATTTGCTCGTTTATACTTGAATAACGAAAATTCAAATGAGAAACCAAAATACAATACTGTGAGATACAGATGAATGACTACATCAGTCATCTAACCACCACTGATACCAAAATCATAGATTCATAAAACACCAAGTTTGAGAGTAGTCACAAAGAGAAGCTGGTTCAAGCTGTGGATGGGTTCACTGAGTCTGCGCCAACCTAGGCTAGCTGTTATCCAGCCTATTTCAACATCCCAAATGATGCAAAACGACTTTGCAAAGCAGCCTGTTGTATCTTCTAACAGTTTTGTCTGTCAGGAAATTTTTTCTCACGCTGACCCTAAATCTGCCTCCCTGGAGCGTCCACTGGTCCTAGACCTCCTGGGAATCATGTGGAACAAGCCCAGGCCTCCTTATAAGATTTGAAGACAGCTGCCAGCAACACCCCATATCTTCTCTTCTCCAGGTCAACACTTCCAATTCCTTCGGCTGTTTCCCCTGCGACATGATTTTGAATTTCTTCCTCATTCTAAACAATTTTCTCTGAACTTGCTCCTGTGTTCTATATCTGTTTCAAAGTCTGGTGCCCAGAATTGAATAATTCAGTGTGGCTGATCTCAGTAAAGCAGAATAGGAGAGGCCTCAAACTTCCCTCATTCTACTATATTATTAGTAATATCATTAGTAATATCTTCTAATGCAACCTTAAATTACAACGGTCTTTTGTATTTTTAGTAATTATATGTTGCCATTTTATACTATAATTGTCTTTTATGTTAAAGAAAGCCCCTATTTAAAAAAAAGTACTGCAGTGCAAAACCATGTCTCATTCTACTGAATAGACCAATCCATTCCTTCCAACCTTTATTTTAGAAATGTGCCTTTCACAGTCCTGGCTGCTCCGTTTGGTAATGTGACTAAAACCCCCTCCACCCATCCCCCCTGCCCATGGCTGATTGGTGGAAGAGGACTGGACATCACACCCAGAAGAATCAAGCCCTAAGCTGAGATGAGCCAGCTAGGCCTGGAAGTACGGACGACCTAGGTATTTAGGAAACAAACCTAACTCCCCAATTATCTTTATAACTAGCTTCTATTTATTCATATTCATATTGTCTTCAGGAATAGTATGACAAAATTTGTCAAATGCCTTCATAAAGTCCATATATTTTATGCCTACTACAGTTCTTCGATCTAGTAACTCCACAAAATGAAATGACAAGGCCTACTTGCTGGTTCTCTTGGTGAACATAAAATTGGTCCAGTTTTATTGGTTCTCTAATAGGTATATCCTTACAAATTACCCTTTGATAAAGTATTCTGGAATCCTGTCTGGGATTGAAATTGAGTTCGCTGGTTGTAATTTATGGTCATTTTATACATGCAATGACATTTGTACGTTATCCTCTTGACTTTCTCCATGTCCTCAAAGATCACCTAGAGTGGCTCTGCAGTCCCATTCAAAGTACTGTCAGTCCCCAGGAATATAATTCATCCACATCAAGAAACCTGAACTAATCCAGACCAGATGGGTATTTTCTTACAATCCCTTTGCCCATCCTGAGTTTTGATTCCTTCTCATCAATTTAAAAATTATATTGCTTACTCCAAGGCACTTTCATCCTTAACCTTTTGCCTATTAATCACAGTTCTTGTCCTGTTCCTGGCAAAGTGCCCTATCCTTAGTCTAAAGAAAACTCTTTCTGGGTAGAGCTTATTTGCCTGATGTACAAAACAGAAATAGCATAAACTTCACAGTTGTGAAAGCTATTAGAATGTTATTCCACCATAGCAATCATGGGGGAAAGCGGAAGTAAGTAAAGTGATACATTTTATATAACAGGTCTTCTGGAAGTGCAGAAAAGAAAAACAAAGCATGACATCATTGTAATCTAGGAAATAAGACAATCAAATTATAAAATAATAGGTCCATAAGAGTAGTCTCCAGACTTCATCTAGTACCTTATTGCTGAGTAATCTAGGTTAAAAAAGTATATTGAACAAAAGTTTTCAATGCTATTAAACTGTAAATAATTTTCTATAAGTAAAACTGCAACAGAAAATATATAACACTTTCAAATTTTTAGTGTCTATATGGACTAATTACCTAGGACATTTCTGTGAAACTTGAGAAGATATGAAATACTATAATTATGTTCCCAAATGAAGTAAACCTTATCTTTTCTTGTGAAATATAATTTGTGTTTCATCCTTGTAACTTGGTGTTACATCGTCTCCTCGTTTTGTAAGTAAAATAATGACATGCTGTCATCCTTGACAAAAGGGCTATCATTAGCAGGATGCTTTTGCTTCCTGTAAGATGTACTTTGGAGGAGGCAGCAACGAATGTAGTAGATTAAACAAAATGCAGAGCCATTTAAAAATAAATTGTGTAATAAAATTCTCAAATGTAGTGTTTGTACTTCTCAAATTATAGTTATTTAATATAAAAGTGATGCAAAATTTTAAAAGATTAAATTAGGCTTCAGATTCTTTTCAGTGCTCCTGTCTGTGCTTCAACTAGAAAAGGCACTCAGTAACCAACCTCCTGCTGCTCAAATGAGGCATTCTCTACTCCAAACATTGTTCCTCCTTTCTCCCTCCACCCTTTCCATGCTTTTCACACTTGGATAAGAAGAAAAGAAACAGATAAACTATTCCACAAAAGGTAAGAGTAACCGCAGCATAAAATGATAAACCTTCCAAGAGGATTTGCATTAAAAATATGCCTCTACTCAAAACAACGAGTGTCTAGCTAGTGAATTTCACTCAGGTTGGGAGAAACATTTTGAAACAGGACAGTTGACCTCTTGAGCCACACAGACCGCCAGACCATTTCATAAGGACACCAGGACCCTTCTTCATCAATAAGTCAACTTGCTTCACCACCAATTTAAAAATCAATCCGGTAAATAAGCACCTACAAACCCCCCTACACCTACATTATATTTAATGGTGAAAGATTCAGTGCTTTTTTCCCCTAAGATAAGGAACAAGGCACGGATATCCACTCTCTCTGCTCTTATGCAACGTAACGCTGGAAGTTCAAGCCAGAGCAAGAAGGGGAAATAAAGGGCATACATATCAGAAAGGAAGAAACAAAACTGCCCCGAATTGAGATAACATGATTGTCTACATAGAAGATCCCAAGGAATCCACAATAAAACCCCTAAAACGAATAAGTCCGGCAAGGTCAATAATTCAAGATAAACCTACACAAACCAACTATATCTCTATATACTGCCAATGAATGCATGGACAGTAAAATTAAAAACACAGTACCAATCACAATTGCTCAAAAAAATGAAATACCTAGCTATAAATCTAACAAAGCATGTACAGGGCTTGTATGCTAAAAACTACAAAACGCTGATATAAGAAATCAAAGATCTAAATAAATGGAGAAACATACTATGCCTATGAGTTGGAAGACTCAAAATATTAAAGATATCAGTTCTCTCCAAATTTATATATAGGTTTAATGTAATTCATATCAAAATTCTAGCCAGATGACTTTTAGGTATAGACAGGATTGTTCTCAAATTTATATGGGAAGGCAAAGGAACTAGAAGAGCTAAAACAATCTTGAAAAAAAAGAATAAAGTGGGAGGAATCATTTTACCTGATTTCAAGACATACTGTATTGTTACAATAATCAAAACTGTGTTATAGTGGGACAATGATAGACACATAGATCAATGGAATAGATTAGAGAATCCAGAAATAAATCTACATAAATATACCAAGATGATTTTTTGACAAAGGTACAAAAGCAGTTCAATGAAGGAAAGATAGCCTTTTTAACAAATGGTGTTGGAACAACTGGATATCCATAGGATAAAAAAATAAAAAATGGAACCTGCCTAAACGTTTCACCCTATACAAAAAAAAG